ATTAAAACTCAATATATTAAATCAAATTCATGATACGCTAAAAATTTCAAAAATTAAGAAAAAATTACTCAAACTTGAATAGTTAATCTAATTAGTTATATTAATAATTGAATAAATGTATTAAAATTCTATATATATATATAAAGAAGACATTGATAATCCGTCGTGCATCTCATTCTAATATATATTCATGTATTATAAGATCAAAGAATTTATGATTTATTGTATACACACATATGTATGTTGAAGTATATTTGTAGTATAAGTTAAGAAAAAGTATGTATATTTATATATTGAGCGGGTCGGGTCGGGTCGGGGCGGAACGAGTCAATTCTAATACCCGGACCCGCCCCATTGTATAGGCGGGGCGTTGCGGACCCGCCCCATTTGCAAGACGGGGTGGGGCGGACCCGCCCCAAATGTCTCGGGCCAGGGCGGGTCATTGCGGGTCGGGTTTTTTTGACATCCCTACTTGAATAGAACTCAGCCAATCTCATCAACTTTGAGAGATATTTATTATACAAAAAATATAAATATAGTATGACATTGTGATAAAAAGCACATTCACACATTTACCGATTACCTATTAGGAAATAAGTTTTTTTAACCTAGAAATCACAACTCATTATTAGCATTTTACAGTACCACAGACTAAATATAATCCAGCTTTTACATGGACTTACCCTTATCGTTGTACCGATTAGCAAGAATCATAGAACAAAACAAACAAAAAACTAAAAGACAAATATATTAGGAATTAAACACGCACACGAAGAACAATTAAAGAACACACGAAATTTGGTAACCCAGTTCGCCACGAATGACTACGTCTGGGGGCGCTACCAAGCCAGGAATATTATTGCTATTTTCGGGTCTTGGGATTACAACGGAGAGAGGTTGTATTTATAGAGAGAGTAAAACACAACCCCTAATTAAAGTAGGACGCGCGTTTCCAAAAAAATATAGTAAACCGTACGGCCCAACTGTACGGACTGTACGGAAAACTTGATCGTCAAAAACGGACCAAACATTTCAGAAACATGCGAACCCCAAGGGGGGGCTACCGTCCAACTCCTTGTCGAGTTGGATCGACGGATAGAGCTTGGTTATACAGTCTCTAACACCTTACAAAATATGATGTTATTTTCATCTGTAAATGATTCATGCTTCTCTCCCTGTTTTATTAGACCTCTAGAGTTTACAAATTAAATTAGTATCCTTAGGGACTAAACAGGTACATAAACTATATATTAGACCAATATTCAAATTCATACTTGATATAATATTTCAATATAAATTCATCATATCATAAGTGCGGCTAATATCTTCACCGGCTTCATTTTGGTGGGGAGGAACCTTGTTTAATGGGGGCAATCAATTATTTTTAGGGAAAATGGAAACTAATAATCCAATCCTTTAGCGGTCTTCTTTTAATAGTCCGACCTTTTCGTTATTCATGAATAATCCAACCTTTGCACCTCATCTTCATTCATTGGTTCCCGACCGGTTGATGACCTGCTACTCCGAGTTATTTTCTTATCTCTGCAAACTATTATACCATAAATTCCACCTTTCACAAAGATAATATTTTGCAAAGATAAGAAAATAATTTGGAATAGCAGATCATCAACCGGTCAGGGACCAGTGAATGAAGATGAGGTGCAAAGGTTGGATTATTCATGAATAACGAAAAGGCGGGACTATTAAAAGAAGACCGCTAAAAGGTTGGATTAGTAGTTTCTATTTTCCTATATTTTTATTGGGGGGAAATTTCTAATTGTTTTATTTAAATTTTTATATTCCAACCAATTTACAAAACTAGCTAGTTTAATAAATAAATGTAAAATATATGCCTAAAAATGTAAAATATACGGAGTATACTACTACTTCATTCGCCATTCAAACGAGCAGCAAACGGTTGTCAAATGGTTCACCGTTAAATAAAGGGGGTGATTGTCCCACTTTCAAGGTTTTTAAAGATTTTTACCCAAAATAAAAGTTTAAGGGCATACATCCTCCTTGGTGACAACTTCAGGGGTGATTTTGCCCCTTTTCCCGACTAAATATGTAGTTACTTGACTCATGCATACATGATTAATTCGGTAACATAATTAATTAGACATATTTTTCTCATATTCATGATCACGTGTAGTTAAGGTGTACGAGTACAATAATTATGCTAAAGTCGGCATTCCGACAGATGTGTGATGGGTAGATGGGTAAATAAAATTAAATAAAATGCATATTAATGAAATAATAGTTTGTCATTTTCGAAAAAATGAAAACTAGTCATATTTTTAACTTCCAAAAGCATAGAGTAAATAATTTTGTTATTTTTTCGAATAAAAAAGTCTTGAGTTAGTAGTCGATTATTACCTCCGTCTCATAATAATTATTAATAGGAAAAATTCACATTAATAATCTTAACTATTAACAGTCTTCCATTATTAATCCCATCTATTCATTATTCTAGAATAATCTTAAGTTCAACGATGGTCTTCTATAATTGATCTCCAGTGACCGTGTACCTACTTATCCGGTACAAAAACAAAAACAATAAAAAAAAAGCAAAAAAGAGGAAGAGCAGGAGCTTTCTCTGCCGGCAGCGGAACTATGCTCCAAACACTTAGAACCAAGCTACTGAGTTAGGGATAAACCAGAGAAGGTTTATCATATCTGATTACGCTTAACTATCTCACGTGTCTATAGGCTCCCTTCTTCAAGCTTCTTCTTCACCGGAGTCACGCCAGAAATAGTGACAACAGGTGGGATGGAATTTCAAGGCGGTGTAGATGGAATGGAGTCCATCCGGCGCTTCTTCTCTCTGTCTCAGTTGGCCATTTATGGTGACATCACCATATTATTGATTCCTTCGGTTGTCCAAACCTTTGGTCGGCCAAGGAAGGATGAAGAGGAAACCAAAAATGGCATGGGTAATAGGATGGATCTTCGAGGCATCTTAGACGAGGATGAAATCTGTTCATCGTTTCTTTTCGCCGGCCACTACCTAACTTTTGTAGTCACCAACCCTTAAGAGTGGAGCCTGAAGAATAGAGGAGACCTGAAGAAGAAAACCCCAAGAGAAAAAGGAAAGAAATTAAAATAGAAAAGAAAAGATAAACATATCAAAACAAATAAAAAGTTGACACGTGTCTCAATGACCTGCTCAATAGGTAAACGCAGGTCACTGGTGTATAATGGGAAGATGACCCTTATACTTGAGATTATATTAGAAATATCAATATATGGGATTAATATAAGAAGAATGACAATAGTTGAGATTATTCATGTGAATTTTTCCTTATTAATATTGGAATTATTGTTAAACACATATTACAATAGATTAGAAGCTAAGTGTTGCCCAAAAATGTTCAGATTTCTATTAGTCTTACTATAATAATGTGCCAAATTCAGGAAGACTAAATATGTAGTTACTCGACTCATGTTCACTTCATTAGTTTCATATAATAATGAATTAGATATATATTTTTTCAAATTCACGTGTAGTTAAGGTTTACGAGTACAATAATTATGTTGAAGTCAACATTAGGGTAGATATGTGATGGGTAGTTGGGCAACAAAAATAAATACAATGCATATTATGAAATAACGGTTAGTCAATAACTTTGTTAGGGTGATCTATAACTTTGTTTTCATATTTCTATTAGTCTCACCGTAGATATATTTTTCTCATTCTCGTGTAGTTAAGGTTTACGAGTACAATAATTATATCGAAGTCAGCATTAAGGTAGACATGTGATGGGTATTTGGGCAAAAAAAACATATACATTGCATATTAGTGAAATAACGGTTAGTCAATAACTTTTTTAGGTAATCTATATCTTTGCAACCTTTTTCTTGCTTCTTCTTTTCATTGTTCTTTCTCTTTTTTCCTCGTGTACTCCTTTGTTTCAAGATTCCACAAATATTTTCATTCTTAAAAAATATGAACTAACGTTTAGTCATTTTCGGAAAATTGAAAACTACTCATATTTTTAACTTCTGTAGGCATAAAGTAAATAATTTTGTTATTTATTCAAATCAGAAAGTCATAAATTACTAGTTTATAATTACATCCGTCTCCTAATAATTAATAATATTAGAATTATTGTTAAACACGTATTTTAATAGGTTACAAGCTAAGTGTTGCCCAAAATGTTCATATTTTTATTAGTCCTGCCGCAGTATTGTACCAAATTCAGGAACACTAAATACTCCGTATGTAATTACTTGACTCATGGTGTCTTCATTAGTTTGTTAAAATAATCAATTAGACATGTTTTTCTCAAATTCACGTGTAGATAAGTTTTACGCGTAAAACTAGAAAAAAAGACATTTGCTGCGGTCGTTTTGACCCATTTGCTGCGGTTCACGCCCGCAACAATAGCGGGAGCAGCAAAATCCAAAAAGTGCTATTTGCGGCGGTCGTACTCGCAGCAAAAAAGTGCCCAGATTTTTTTTAAAAAATACCCTTTTTGTTGCGGTTCCTTAACAACCGCAGCAAATACATATGCCAAATTAACTGTTTTTGCGGCGGTCCTGTACAACCGCAACAATAAGTGTTCAAAAAATGTGCATCTTATGTTCACATTATTCTCTTTTAATGGACATTTTCAATCAATCCAAATATCAATCCAAATATCAATCCAAATATCACATAACAAAAAAAAGTTAATACATTTTCGATCTAATATAGAGTTTACAACAAATTGTCACAAACATATATCGCCCATCTATCACGAATTTCATCAATTTCTGTCATTGAAAGCGCCTCATCTCGTAAGGTGCTTGTGTACACCTACAAAATAAAGCATTTCTAATTAGTACAACTACGATTTGGAATATAATTTCATAACAATAACCCTTTCACATTATAACTAAAACTTTTCTCATAAATAAAAAAATAAATATATATATATATATATATTTCATCTCGCTCATTCAATTCATCGTCCACGCCATTTCATTTCCTACCATTATCCTCCTCCTTCCCCTTACTCTTTTAACATCAACTGAGGGGTTCTAAAATGGTGATGGTGGGCGGAATCCCATTTCCACCCCATCTCAATTTGAACAATAACCAGCTCTCACTCATGGGTCATGGGATTACTGATGTTGAGATCCATTTCCTCCAAATAAAGTACACAGCAATTGGGGTTTATTTGGACCTTGAAATTGTGTCACATTTAAGCCAATTTAAGGGGAAAACACCAGTTGACCTCTCTCAAGATGAGGACTTCTTTGAAGCTAATATTAATGCCCCAGTGGATAAAATACTGAGAGTGGTGGTGATAAAGGAGATAAAAGGGTCACAGTATGTGGTGCAGCTAGAGAGTGGAGTGAGGGACTTTTTGGCAGAGGCTGATAAATATGATGAGGAAGAGGAAGCTGCTCTTGAAAAAAGTAGAATCATTTTTTCAGTCCAAATATCTCAAGACAAATTCTGTCATAACATTTACTTTTCCAGCAGCTAACACTGCCTCAGCTAAGATTGTGCTAACAACAGAGGAGAAGGATGAGTCAGGCATTGATGTAGAGAATGCAAATGTTGTTGAAATGATGAAAAAATGGTATTTTTGTGGAACTAGGGCGGTATCTCCTAGCACAATCTCCTCCTTGGTCAATACATTCTCCATCTAATCTTTCAATCAAGCTTCCATGGCTGTAATAACTAGTGATTGTATTTTACCATTTCTTTTATGCAATTCAATAAACTTTGTTTCATTCTATATATATACCCATGAAAACATACCTGCTCCAGATCTTGACCTTCATTGATATTTCTACTCAGATCATAAATGAATCTCATCATATAATATCCACACTCCAAGCCGCCCGTTTGTTTTGCGCACTGAAAAATTGTACACAAAATATACTTTATATTCATATTACTCACTACTAAGTTAAATGACTTAGAAACTATAGTAAAATATTTAGTGAAACGTTATATATACTTATTATACCTTCATCTGTTTCCAAATGATCTTTTTCACCTTTTCACTTCCATGGGCACAAATATTTCGAAAAACACTATTATGAAACATTCAAAGTTAGAACAATAATAACTATGCTGAAATTGGCATTAGGGTAGATATGTGATGGTTAGTTGGGAAAACAAATAAATACAATGCATATTAATGAAATAACGGTTAGTCAATAACTTTGTTTGGGTGATCTATAACTTTGTTTTCAGATTTCTAGTCTCACCGTAGTACTATACCAAAAGCATTTTCGTAAAAAATGAACTAACATTTATTCAATTTTTGAAAATTGAAAACTAGTCATAATTTTAACTTCCAAAGGCGTACAGTAAATAATTTTGTTATTTATTCAAATAAAAAAAGTCATGAATTACTAGTTTATTATTAACTCCATCTCCTAATAATTAATAATATTGGAATTATTGTTAAACACATATTTTAATAGGTTACAAGCACTAGAAAAAAACAGGGGATTGGGTAGGATTTCTCGAAATTCGCATGGATTTTGGCAAGGATATGCCAAATCCGTGCCAAAACTTGTTTGGCACGAAAAATAGACAAATTCGTGCCAAATCCGTGTCAATCCCGTAATTTTTTTGTTGTGAAGCTTAGTGTTGCCCAAAATGTTCATATTTATATTAGTCCCGATGTAGTATTGTACCAAATTCAAGAAGACTAAATACATGTGTAGTTACTTGACTCATGATGACTTTATTAGTTTGGTAAAATAATCAATTAGACACGTTTTTCTCAAATTCACATGTAGTTAAGGTTTACGAGTACAATAATTATGCTGAAGTCGGCATTAGGGTAGATATGTGATGGTTAGTTGGGCAAAAAGAAAATAAATACAATGCATGTTAATGAAATAACGGTTAGACAATAACTTTGTTTGGGTGATCTGTAACTTTGTTTTCAAATTTCTATTAGTCTCATCACCGTAGTACTGTACCAAATTCAGGAAGACTAAATATGTAGTTACATGTCTCATGATGAAATCATTAATTCGGTAAAATGATTAAAAAGACATATTTTTCTCATATTCACGTGTAGTTAAGGTTTACGGGTACAATAATTATGTTGGTGTCAGCATTCGGGCAGATGTGTGATGGGTAATTGGGTAAATAAAAATTAAATAAAATGTGTATTAATGAAATAATGGTTTGTCATTTTCGAAAAATTGAAAACTAGTCGTATTTTTAACATCCAAAAGCATAGACTAAATAATTTTGTTAATTTTTTAAATTAAAAAAGTCTTGAATTAGTAGTTTATTATTACCTCAGTCTCCTAGTAATTAATAATATTGGAATTATTGTTAAACACATATTATAATAGGTTACAAGCGAATTGTTGGCCAAAAATGTTCAGATCTTTATTAGTCCTACTGTAATACTATGCCAAATTAAGGAAGACTAAATATGTAGTTACTCGACTCATGTCCACTTCATTAGTTTAATTTGATATAATAATGAATTAGATATATTTTTCTCAAATTCACGTGTCCTTACGGTTTACAAGTACAGTAATTATGTTGAAGTCAGCATTAGGGTAGATATGTGATGGTAGTTGGGCAAAAAAAATGCATATTAACGAAATGACAACTAGTCAATAACTTTGTTTGGGTGATCTATACCTTTGTTTTCAGCTTTCTATTAGTCTCACCGTAGATATATTTTTCTCAAATTCACGTGTAGTTAAGGTTTACGAGTACAAAGCCAAGTACCTTGTGGTCTGATAGCATCACTGTGACACTTCCAAAAAGAGGTCACAACTTCGAATCTCATCCCAGTTGAAGGATGTTGGCCTTAACAGAACAGATATTATAATAGGTTAGAAAGAATTTGCCCAAAAAAAAAGGTTTACGAGTACAATAATTATGTTGAAGTCAGCATTAGGCCGGGTAGATATGTGATGGGTAGTTGGACAAAAAAAGTAAATACAATCCATATTAATGAAATAACGGTTAGTCAATAACTTTGTTTGGGTGATCTGTAACTTTGTTTTCAGATTTCTATTAGTCTCACCGTAGTATTGTACCAAATTCAAGAAGACTAAATATGTAGTTACATGACTCATGAAGACATCATTAATTCGGTGAAATAATTTATTAGTCCTACTATAATACTGTGCCAAATTGAGGAAGACTAAATATGTATGTAGTTACTCTACGCATGTTCACTTCATTAGTTTGATATAATAATGAATTAGATATATTTTTCTCAAATTCACGTGTAGTTAAGGTTTACGAGTACAATAAGTATGTTGAAGTCATCATTAGGGTAGATATGTGATGGGTAGTTGGGCAAAAAAAACAATGCATATTAATGAAATAACGGTTAGTCAATAAATTTGCTTGGGTGATCTATAACTTTGTTCCTAGATTTCTATTAGTCTCACCGTAGATATATTTTTCTCAAACTCACGTGTAGTTAAGTATATGAGTACAATAATTATGCTCAATTCAGCATTAGTGTAGATATGTGATGGGTAGTTGGGCAAAAAAAATACATTGCATATTAATGAAATAACGGTTAGTTAATAACTTTGTTTAGGAAATCTATAACTTTGTTTTTCAGATTTCTATTAGTTTCACCGTAGATATATTTTTCTCACATTCACGTGTAGTTAAGGTTTACGAGTACAATAATTATGCTAAAGTCAGCATAAGGGTAGATATGTGATGGGTAGTTGGGCAAAAAAATTAAATAGAATTCATATTAATGAAATAACGGTTAGTCAATAACTTTGTTTGGGTGATCGATAACTTTGTTTTCTTTTTTGTTGCTTCTTCTTTTCATTTTTCTTTCTCTTTTTTCATCGTGTACTCCTTTGTTTCAAGATTCCATAAAATTTTCTCTCTTCAAAATAAACTTGAACTAACGTTTAGTCATTTTCTGAAAATTGAAAACTAGTCATATTTTTAACTTCCAAACGCATAAAGTAAATAATTTTGTTATTTATTCATATCACAAAGTCATGAATTACTAGTTTATTATTACCACTGTCTCCTAATAATTAATAATATTAGAATTATTGTTAAACATGGATTTTAATAGGTTACAAGCTAGGTGTTGCCCAAAATGTTCAAATTTTTATTAGTCCCACCGCATTATTGTACCACATTCAGGAACACTAAATATGTAGTTACTTGACTCATGATGACTTCATTAGTTTGACAAAATAAACAATTAGACATGTTATTCCCAAATTCACGTGTAGATAAGTTTTACGAGTACAATAATTATGCTGAAGTTGGCATTAGGGTAGATATGTGATGGTTAGTTGGGAAAACAAATAAATACAATGCATATTAATGAAATAACGGTTAGTCAATAACTTTGTTTAGATGATTTATAACTTTGTTTTCAGATTTCTATTTGTGTCACCGTAGTACTGTACCAAAAGCATTTTCGTAAAAAATGAACTAACGTTTAGTCAATTTCGGAAAATTGAAACCTAGTCATATTTTTAACTTCCAAAGGCATAAAGTAAATAATTTTGTTATTTATACAAATCAGAAAGTCATGAATTACTAGTTTATTATTACCTCCGTCTCCTAATAATTAATAATATTAGATTTTTATTAGTCCTAGTATTGTACCAAATTCCGGAACACTAAATACTCTGTATGTAATTACTTGACTCATGATGTCTTCATTAGTTTTGTAAAAAAATCAATTAGACATAGTTTTCTCAAATTCACGTGTAGATAAGTTTTACGAGTACAATAATTGTGCTGAAATCGGCGTTAGGGTAGGTATGTGATGGTTGGTTGTGAAAACAAATAAATACAATGCATATTAATGAAATAACGGTTAGTCAATAACTTTGTTTGGTGTGATCTATAACTTTGTTTTCAGATTTCTATTTGTCTCACCGTAGTATTGTACCAAAAGCATTTTCGTAAAAAATGAACTAACGTTTAGGCAATTTCGGAAAATTGAAAACTAGTCATATTTTTAACTTCCAAAGGCATAAAGTAAATAATTTTGTTATTTATTCAAATAAAAAGTCATGAATTACTAGTTTATTATTACCTCCGTCTCCTAATAATTAATAATATTAGAATTATTATTAAACATGTATTTTAATAGGTTACAAGCACTACAAAAAAACACGGGATTAGCAGGAATTTCTCGAAATTCGCATTGATTTTGGCAAGGATATGTCAAATTCATGCCAAAAACAGTCTGGCACGATAAAATAGACAAATTTGTGCCAAATCCGTGTAAATCCCAATTTTTTTTTGCAGTGAAGCTTAGTCTTGCCCAAAATATTCATATTTATATTACTCACGATGCAGTACTGTACTGAATTCAAGAAGACTAAATATGTAGTTACTTGACTCATGATGACTTTATTAGTTTGGGAAAATAATCAATTACATATGTTTTTCTCAAATTCACGTGTAGTTAAGGGTTTCGAGTACAATAATTATGCTGAAGTCGGCATTAGGGTAGATATGTGATCGTTAGTGTGGCAAAAAAATAAATACAATGCATATTAATGAAATAACGGTTAGTTAATAACTTTGTTTAGGTGATCTATAACGTTGTTTTCAGATTTTTAATAGTCTCACCGTAGTACTGTACCAAATTCAGGAAGACTAAATATGTAGTAACTTGACTCATGATGACATCATTAATTCGGTAAAATAATTAATTAGACATATTTTTCACATATTCATGTGTAATTAAGTTTTACGAGTACAATAATTATGGTGAAGTCAGCATTCAGGCAGATGTGTGATGGGTAGTTGGGTAAATAAGATTAAATAAAATGTATATTAATGAAATAACGGTTTGTAGCCAAGTATTCCAGCCCAGCTGGTTGTAGATTATCGTGCCTTGCAGGAGGTCTCGAGTTCGAAACCCTCTAGACACATAAAGGTTTGAAACTCAATGAAGTGAGTTTTAGCCCAAATTATTACTTGGACACAAATGCGTCAAAGACGGTTAAAGCAAACCTCACGTTACCCAAATCTAAATCCACATTCTTACAACAAAGTAAAAGACAAAGATGAAAGTGAACAGTATGCTCCAAACAATTAAAAAACAGAAATGCAAAGAAATAAAAATCATGCTCCGTCTTCCGGAGCACCACGATCATTCACATACTCGAACCTCCCCTCTTTCTCAGATTCTTCGGCAAGCCTAAGAATCGGAGTCCGCCTCCTCCCCGTTTTTTGGCTTGTCCAAAACCATGTTATCCCCAATTGGGTTTTCTATGTTTCCTGAGCTTCCCATATTTTCCTTCTTAAAGTTATTTTCCACTAAATAAAAGGTAACCACTTGTTATATGAAAAATTAAAAACATTTATGTTTGGCTAAAGTGTCAAACATGCCCGATCGTGTAAGCTCAATTTAGTTCCTGGACTAAAAAAAGGATCAATTCACATCACGAACTAGCAAAAAAGGTTAAATAATTGCCAAAAAATGACCGATTATTTACCTGTAATAAATGAAATTTGAACTATTTTTTGTCGGATGGAAGTGTGAATTTTTTGTTGTATGACAGTTAAAAGATTTTGGGAAAAGTGTCAAATAGGCCCCCCTACTAGTACGAAAAAGTCAATTAAGCCCCCGAACTCAAAAAACATCCAATTAAGCCCGCGAACTAAATATAACGAGGCAAAACAGTCCTTTTAGCAGGTAATTAAGCGGTTAAAAAGAGACAAGGAAAAAAAACAAAGAGAAAAAGAGAAAAAGAAAATGTAAAAGCACGCCACATCATTTGCCACACATGCAACTTAACTGGAAACGGTTAATATCCTGCTAAAGGACGGTTTTGTCTCGGTTTTTATAATTCGTGAGCTTAATTGAGTGTTTTTTGAGTTCAGAGGCTTAATTGACTTTTCTGTATTAGTAGGAGGCCTATTTGACAGTTTTCCGAAAGATTTTTTTATGGATTATCATTTTTATAGAATCAATCTCTAAAAAAGAAGAAATTAAAACTGACCCACTCCGGGTCTCCATTATTTTCTGAACCAAACGCATCGCACCCAGTAGAGCGAGAAACAGAGTTTGAAGAGCGAGAGGGAGAAGGGGGTCGAGAGTGAGGGAGAGTGTGGGAGGGAGAAAGGATAAGATCGTCGTCACTCGTCACAATATATTGCTGAATGGCGTTGTCGGGTTGAACATATTTTCTCAAACCCGAGGAAAAACACAGTCTGATTTTCTCCTCTTTTGACTCGGCGATGCGGAGAGGCAGAGCAGCCGCAGCGGCCAAGCAAGCTCCGGCCACTCCGCCTGCTGAAAACATCAATGGATCTGGAGGATCTCAGGATATTAGGTTCCGTGGAGTGAGAAAGAGGCCCTGGGGAAGATACGCGGCGGAGATTAGAGACCCCTGGAAGAAGACTCGCGTGTGGCTCGGGACCTTTGACTCGGCTGTGGATGCTGCCCGAGCCTACGATGCCGCCGCCTTGAGTCTCCGGGGCCCGAAAGCCAAGACAAACTTTCCGGTGCCGGTTAATTCTCACCAACCCCCGTATCAGCAGAACCAGTCTGATGCCCTTGATCCGCCGTTCATCGATCCCCGGGTGTACAGTCAAGTGCCTCCGATTTTTCCTCAGAGGCGGCCTGCCTCCAGCGGCATGAGTAGCACGGTGGAATCCTTTAGTGGGCCCAGGCCACAGTCCGCGGCAGTCCCTTCTCGCCTTCATCCCAGGTCGCCGCCTGTGGGTCCGGATGACTATCATAGCGACTGCGACTCTTCATCTTCAGTCCTTGAAGACAGTGACTGCAAAGACATTGCCTCGTCTCCTTTCAGAAAGCAGCTGCCTTTTGACCTCAACCTGCCGACTTCCATGGAGGCAGACGATCTTCCCTGCACAGCTCTTCGTCTTTAATGCACCGTGGCAGCTGAGGCTGCTCATCTTCGGCTCCCCCCTCATCATCACTGGAAACCAAATCCAGTGCTAGTATTTGCTTGATCTCTTACTTTTCTGTTTTTCAGTGTACCCGCCGGTTTTAAAGAAAATGTTGGTGAAAAGAAGGAAATCCAATCCTTTAGAGCTAAATTGTGAAGTCCGGTTATAAAAAAAGATCAAGATTATGATAAAGTCTCAGCTAAACTCCGAAGAGAATGTACTTTTTAAATTGCAATTCACTTCTGATAGTATAATTCTCTTAGTATCCATGGCTGCATCAGTGTGTTGATATATTATTATCATCTTGTAGCTATTATTATGGCTTCAAACCCATGCATCAATGCAACATGAGTTGTTGTCATGATTATCATTTATGTAACAGTTAAATAGATATATCAATCCTCCAGTATTAGATGAAATTAGTTTGTATTCGCTCATTTTCTCTGAAATTTGAGTTGCATGTTGTAGCTACTTCATGACGGAAAAGCATGTGTGGACATATTTGAGCATGATTTGAGGTTTTGTGCTTTTTGACATGCAGGTCATCTATGTAAGCTTCCATTAGAACTCCAATCTCTTATTTGAACTACCTGGTTATCGTTCTCGTTAAATATTGCTTGCACTCCATGATAAACCAAAATAACACGTACCACGTATTATTAGTTATTTATTACTAACATATTATGTTACCTTATTATCTAGATTGTAATTAGGATGTCTCCTTGTATAGATTGAACTCTTTTCCTTCTATATTTGTTTCTTACCGTTTTGGTCTACCATTTTGTAGACCAAAATGCAATACCAAATGTAATAGTATACCATGTATAGGTTAATGTATTTTTGTGCGCTCCTTGTTCTCTTTCCCATGCAGGTATGATGATGCCTGGAGAAGAGCTTGTACCCTCTGCCTCAAAGTGGATGATGATGTAGATTTGTTCTAATTTTTTCGACCAACTATTGGTTAATGTACTCAACTGAAGAGTGATAGATTTTGGGCATTTATTTGTTAGTTTCTCATAAGTTTGTGTTGTTGTGGTCCAGTACTCCAATGCAAATTCAATGTCATTTTCAAACATACTTGAGGTGAACACAAACGGCATGACAATGAAGATTAATGTTGTAGACAGATTTGGGGGATATCTATAGTGATCCCGTGATGTTTTGTTTTCCTAAGCAGAGTTTGCAATGACAAATATTATTGGAGGCAAAGCCTGAAGGGCAAGAATCTGGACATGTTTGTTGTCGGTTGCGACTCCAGAGTAGAAAAAAGCCTCTCTGTAAATACGATGGGAAACCTTGTTAATGTTTTTCATCTCACAATAACATTAACAAGGTTTCCCATCTTCAAAGAATCCCCCTCCCCTCTCCCATCATTTGGGAGTGCAAGTTCTTGGGGTTAGCTTTATTTCCCTACCCTCCTATGGTGTCTTTACCAAGTCTAACTTCATTTCTTGGTGCATTGTTTTTATAATGGATGTTATAAATTTGTATCTTGTTCTTCCTTTGAGCACGTTCCGGCTGAATTGTTTTGGCATAGAAAGCAAGTATAATCAATTGGTCACACAATGTTTGATTTGAAGAGACATTTTAATACCAAAATAAAGTTATTTCTTCATTCAGATTGATGTCCTTTGGGGCATTAATTGTTCACTTGTATAAGTTGTATACAGGATGCACCCATGTTTCGGTTCGTCTCCAGTTAAGGCGAGCTGAACTTAAACCGTCTGATCTGAAAAAAAAAAGAGGCAGCTCAGCCATTTTAGCTACCCAGATGTAGCCTGTTCTGTTTCCGAAAATGGCCTAGTTGCATCATGACTCATGAGGATTGGGGATGTAATATACTCCAGGAAATTGTTATGGCTGTTGAGTATAGTATATTGTACATAGGGATGGACTCGGGCCGGTTCGGGCCTGGGCCCGGCCGGGCCTCGGGTCTGTTTTGTTGGGCCCGAGCCCGAACCGGTGGCCACCGGTTCCGGGTCCGGTTCCGGGCTGGACTGGGCCGGGCCACCCGGTTAGTTTTTTTTTTTCCTTTTCTTTTCTCCCCCCCCCCCCTCACCCCCACCCCCCAAACCCCCCAAACCGGTCCTAAACATCAAGCCCAACTCAATAAAGCCCAAAAAATGAAAAAAAAAAAAAAAAAACAGTTATTGGCCCGGACCCGGGCCCGACCTGGCCGGGCCGGTTCGCCAAAAATTGTAACCGAGCCCGGAACCGCCCATGCCCCCGGGCCGTCTCGGGCCGGGCCGGTCTCGGGCCGGGCGGCCCGAACCGAGGCCATCCCTAATTGTACAGGTGGATGATCAAAATGCTCCTTGACATAAAAAAGAAGATATCCATGAGGGGATACTCTTTTGAGGAAGCAGGAGTGCGTTTGCGAAACCTAAACCATCAACCAGAAGTCCATAACTCAAAGGAAAACAGCTCACAATCAAGCAGTTTGATTTGGTTTTTGTCACCAAATCAAAATTGTCTATCATATTTAAAATATACTTTTAAATTAAATAAAGAAAAAAATTATATGAGAAAATAATTAAAATAATCATCCATCGTAATTTTAATCAATTAGTTGGAAAAGTAACTCTAATTTTACTCATTCTTATGTGTTACACTGTGCAATGTGCATAATCAAAATTTATGTGTTTACCATAGAAAAAGTGAATTAACAAGACTGATATATTAAAAATAATAAAGAGTAAATAAAGAAATATCAAATCGACCAACCAGGGCAATAAAAGTTCTAAAATGAAAAACGTAAATTGAAATAAATTTAAAACTATATACAGTTTGGGTTTGATTTGCAGTTTGTCAAAACTAAAAGTGATCAATTTCAACTAAACCTACCCATCACTCCACCAGCCGACCAGCGACGCCCTTTATGCACAACAGCGCACAAGAAGGAGTTGTGCTTCATAAGGTAACGATTTTTCTATCCATCCATCATAAGACTGTTATTCTAACTAAGAATAGGCAAACTCGTTATACACTTATACTATATACGCTTATACTTGATCTCATTCTCAAACATTCATTCAATAAGGTTTGTGGTCGGTGGAATTATCAGATGCAAGGTTTTAAATAGCCGTAGCGGCAGCGGTAGCGGTCATCGCGGTAGCGGCCTGTAGCGGCCTGTAGCAGCCTGTAGCAGCCTGTAGCAGCCTGTAGCCGACTGTAGCGGTTGCAGCGGCGTGAAATATTTTCAATTGCGCAAAACATAAATGTATTTGTTCACATCATTCACACAACATTTAATTTTGAGTTTCACTCCATGCATCACCATTAATGTATTTTTTTACATCATTCACACAACATTTACACATTTACACATCAAACAATTCGTGATGTACTGTCGGAAATGTCAATAGCGGGCTGTAGCGGGCTGTAGCGGACTGTAGCAGGTTGCGTAGCGGATTTTTCCCGTGATTTGGAAATCACACATGAATAGCGGGCCGTAGCGGTAGCGGCCCCTACCGCGACCGCTATTTCAAACCATGATCAGATGTTTAGGTCCTTGAATAAACTCTCATTTCTTTAAGAATCGACTCCATATTTTTTTGTTGTCCTGAATTTGACGGATAGACTATCGAATGAGTAAGTTCTCAAATCCACCATGTATCCTACATTCCTACTCACGACAGAATGTGCAAGCAAGCTTTCACATTCAAACTCCGCCAAAAAGAAAAGTGTACACAAATTAAATCGGTTTGATCATCTTTATGTTTAGTTTATTTATACTAAATTTTGATTTTTCATGCTAAATTGTTTAATATCTATATAAATAAAGTCAAAACCACTTTGGGCTTTTTAAAAGTGTAGAGTATTTCAGAAAAAGCGGACGTCTCTCTAGGTCTCTAGGGTTAGCTGTCTTGCGCCGATTTTCTTCTCTCGATCGTCGGGGGAGGAATCAGGAGTGTGCGAGTTTTGTCTTCGTGCTTGGCTTTGTGACCGGAAGTTGAGGCAGGGCTCTGCCTCAGGACTCTCGAACAATTTTCATTGATTTGGAAGGAAGATGGAGGAAATTGCCAACAAATACAAGGGTATGGAGGAAATTGCCAACAAATACAAGGACATGGCTATTGGAGACCAAGAGGAAGAACTGGTGTTTGAAGAGGAGCCGCTTGAGGAAGGAGGCTCAGGCGAACAGGAGGTTTACCCGATTGTAGGGACCGTGGTCACCGATCGAATGGTGTGATTTCCGGCTTTTCGAGACCTTATGGCCTCACTTTGGAGGTCGGGCAAAGGTATCTCAATAAAGGAGATCGGCGAAAAAAGGTATATGTTTATTTTTTAATTTTTATCATCCTATTGATATGAAATGTGTGCTTGAAGATGGACCATGGATTTTTTAGCAGAATTTACTGATTCTTCGGGCACTGTAGCATGGGGATGTTCCTCTCTATATGCCTCTGAATGAGACTGGTTTTTGGGTCCAGGTTCATGATATTCCTTATGACTTTTAGACTTTATGAATTTGGGTGTTGCTAGGAAAATTAGGAACTTTGTTGGAAAATTTATAAGTTGGGATAAAACTCAGTTTGATAAAAAGTGGAAGCCCTATATGAGGATTAGGGTCTGTTTGGATGTGGGAAAACCTCTAAAGGTGGGAACCACTCTCAGAAAGGGGCAGGGCGAAGGGCACTGGGTTAATTTTAAATATGAGAAGATGCCTAGTTTTTGTTTTTCATGCGGTGTTATATGACATGCTGACAGGTTTTGCCCCCTAGTTTATGAGAATGACTCTGTGGGAACCAATTGGTCGTCTGGGGTCGGCCTACGTGCAGGTGGGGGGGGGGGGGAGGCACAGATGGTAGGGGGGAATAAGTGGATAATTCCAGAAGGTTCAAGGGGGGACAGAAAAGGCAGACCGAGAGGAGGGAGGCAATTCTGGTCTGAGCAGGAAAGGGTGGAATAGTCCCTTGACTCGAAACACCAAGAGCGGATTGGAGAATGCGGAAGCAGCGGCCACGGAGGACAAGAGCGGTGAGCCAAAGCGTGGGAGGACTTGGGAAGAGGCTAATGGAGAAAAAAGAGCGAAACTATGGTCTTGGATGACCCAAAAAATGGGGACAAGGCGGGTTCAGACGCCTCGACCCTCCGAGTTCTTTGAAGATGGTTTCAGTTGGGAACGGGCGCTGGTGCTCGTTCTTATGCTTCAGGATGCTCTTTAATTTCCACGTCTTTATTATTTTTCAGTTTACTTTTTGTACTCAGACTTTGTTTCTTTCGATCACTGTGGTTTTGTTCTGTCAGACTCTTTTAGACCCAATACAGGATCAGCGAATCATATTGCTTTAGGTGGGGGTGATGAGAGTTTTGCTCTGGCCACGTTTGGCTCATTTAGATTTTAGACCCAATACAGGATCAACGAATCATATTGCTTTATTTAAGGTGATTGATTCTCCAGCTAGTTCGAGGGTCGGTGGCTGGAAATGCTTCCTTTATCATTTATGTCCCTTGTTGAATGTTTTATTATCAATATAAGCCTCCCTGTTACAAAAAAATCAAAACTACTTTTATAACTTACTATCCTTTGTCTCTTTTTAGTTGCAACATGTTGACCTTTTGCACTATTCACATGATCTACCTTGACTACATTTTACACTATTATTTCATGGAAATTATTTTTTAAAAAAATATTTTTCAATTCATCTCATTACAAATTTTCAAAATCTGATTTTAAATATTTTTTATTAATAGAAATTAAGATATACTTACGGTCAAATGTGTGCATTGGCAAATGTGCAAAGGTTGACTGTTGCAACTAAAAAAACGGAGGAAGTATTTGACTAAAGTTACACTGGAGGATCAATGAAGTTGTTTTTCATATTGTTGATGTAAAGTCCTAGAAGTTCAAAGGTCCAACACAGTCCTTTGAACTTTCGTTGGAGTCCTTTTTATGAGTGCTTAAGGCAAGAATAGACAAGAATGATAGCAAGTAAGTAAGAGGCAAAGTGTATCTAGTTCTATTAAGTATTTATAATGATTACAACACTTATGTCGAGCTTCGAGCTTCGATCCGCTAGTGTAAGTTGAAGATTACATAAAATCTGAGCGTGATGTGCTCAATTCTGTGCGATAACCCCAACCAAAAAATCTTGCATATCTAGTGCATTAAATGCGTTTCCTACCAATTTCAAGGTTTTTCGCCGATTGATTGGGGGAGTTCTGCCTTGGACGGCTGCTAGATTGAAGGGAGAAACCCAAATGAGGAGATCGAGCCGACGACATTCCCCGTGCGAGTAGGCCGTGTGTGCTTTCAAATTTTCTGAACTGCGATTGGATCCGTATACAGATTGGGCCCCATAGAGGGGTGGGCCTGTGCCTAATATCCCAACACATATAATCTTTTTTGATTTTTTTTTAAAATACTACAAATATTTTAAAATAATTTTTTCACAATTAAGTAAATTTAGCAAATTCTACCGTGAAATTTTATCGATTTCAATATATTCAACCGGTTCAATCTATTTTAGTGCGATCAACGGGCTCTAAATGCATTCAAAAACCATACAAATACTTAAAATAATGCGCGTCTATAGTGAAATTATATTCAGCCTACTAGAAAGATCATCATAAGAAAATGATAGTCCCATACAATTTGATCAAATTTAACTTACATGTGGAATAATAATGTAAGAAATGTGTGATTTATATTTGTGTATAAGAGATAAATTAACTTTATCTATATCACTTTTATTTTAAAATGAATGAACATTCTCCCTCCGTCCCATTTTACATGTCTTACTTTTCTTTTTGAGTTATCTCAAAAAAAGTGTCACGTTTTTTATTTTTGGAAAGGAATATATGATTGGTAACATTTCACTTTGTTATACTCAAATCACAACTACAACTTTTCCTTTTTCAACCATTTTATTAATAATTTGTGTTAAAATTAAATGAGACATACGTAGTAATACACTAATACGTACTTCGTATAAAATAAGGAGGTAGTACTATTTTTCAGAGGACGGACAAAAATTTGGGAGAATGTCTATTTGTTACTTCTATTTTTACGGAGTCCGTAATTCTGAAATGAATGAAAAGTTCATGTAATTATCGTCGAATTAATGTTTGTAAGCAAATGATCTCAAAATAACTTCGTATGTAATAGTGTCAGGCTATGAAGCACGGATACTTCCCTAGGGTAGCGTATCGGCGTATCGGATACGTTCCCGTATCCGATACTCTAGGATACCCGTACCGTACGTTCCCGGGCCGTATCTGCAATTTTTAAAAAGTTTCCATTTTTTTTTGTAATTTTTTGAAAGTTTCCGATACTCGTATCCTGACGGATACCCGTATCAACCATTTTAAAAAAAAAAAAAATCCCAAAATTTACTTAATAAAATTCCAAAAAAAAAAATGAAAATCTAAAACTACATTTTACTTGGTAATCAAATAATGGGCCTATATGGCTATATCCGAATTAAGTCATTAACTCATACTTCGAAGTGGGTACTTGCGCTTTTAATTTCAAGATTGTAGTTGTTTAACTTATTTCACATTTTAAATTAATGACTTATTGACTACATTTATATTTCGAGATACACCAGTGTATATGAGAAATATTATGAATTTATTACTAAGTATCTTGAAAAAGGAAAATGCTTCAATGCAATGAATGAGTAGGCATCATAGGATATTATATGTATATATATATATTCAAAAAAAACTATTTTTAATATTTATAAATAGACCCCTATAACTTTTAATATTTGTAAATACACCCCCATAACTTTTAATATTTATAAATATGGCCCCGTATCCGTATCCTACTTTTTTTTTGTTTTGACGTATCCCCGTACCCGTTTACGCGTTTCCGCGTTTCCGCGTTTCCGCGTACCGGTATCCGTGCTACATAGGTGTCAGGTGATTCTAACCGGCAAAAGTTGGGGAAACAAGAACCATCTTTTGACTCGAGAGTAAAATGAAAGAGAGGCAAAGGTTAGATCTCACAAAGAACAAACAGCAAATAATGCAGATTTTGAATATGGTCTCTTCTTAACTCTCTGTCACCCGGAAGCTTGACTTCGTTTATGGAGATAGACGCAGCTCCTATTAGCCGCTGCTCTAAAGAGCACGAAAGGATCTATCACGAATGGTTCATCTGTGCTGATTCAGGTGCATCTTTCTCACCCAACTTCTGCTTTCGAAATGTTTCGGTTTTCTTTGTTCTCTTGGGAAATGTATATCTGCATTTACGAATCGTGTATTGGTGATCGCTAAAAAATTATTCAGATAGAGATGGACGCATCACCGGAGGCGATGCCACGAAATTCTTCTCCATGTCTAACCTGTCCCGCCAGGATCTTAAGCAGGTTCTATATGATATTACTTGATTTGTTTCCTCTTATTTTATCGACACTAAATATATGCTCGAGACGTTAAAAACCCGTTTGAGCTCAACCCTTGACATACATGTTTGGTTTGTGAAAGCAGCTTTGGATAAGATTGCCCTTATTTCCACCATTTTGTTGCGTTGCCTCTTTCCATGAATAGTTTTGGCTTCTTTTTGGATGGGCAATGTCAATGTGAATTTCCAGTGATTGGATTCCATATCAGTTGTCAACACCATATTACTACCATCTGGCTCTATTTTGACTAAAATTTCATTTTCAGTAGATACCTGCCTACCTGACTATTAGTAAAAAAAGTTCCTTTTACTTATATCTATAATCTGTTACCTGGCCCATTCCAATGGTTAATACCCGTGTAGTATATTTACAATTAATCATTCAGACTTTTCTTTATTGGGTTTTAGCTCTATTTTTTTCAGTAATGTGTTTTCAAATCAAGCATGCCTTCACTGTCTTTCTAAATTTACTTGATTTTCCCTTAGGTCTGGGCGATTGCAGATTCCAAACGGCAAGGCTATCTTGGTTTTAAAGAATTTGTGATTGCTATGCAGGTCCCGATGCTTTTTTGGTCTCTGTGATTTTGCTCGTAGAATTAGGATATTTTGTGAAACCTGATTGTTCATTGCATTTCAATGTTTAGTTAGTGTCTTTGGCTCAAGGTGGACATGCAATCACTGCTGATCTTTTACATGCGAAAGGTAAGCATTGTCAATTTCTGTTTCCTTTGCCCCCATATTTGAGTGTTTGTAGGGTGCCGTTTGTAGGGGTGGCACCCTACTGCTGCCTCAAGCAGTTTCTTTCCTCCCTTTTTTGTTCAAACTCTTTTTCTTATTAGCATTGCTCTGCTCTTTTAACCTAACCATTGAGATATTCAACCCATGCCAGTTGACTTCGAAAATTTAGAGCCACCAAAAATGGAAGGTTTGCATGCTCTCCTGGAAGTAAGTGTATTTGCTAAATTAGATCCACTCCCTTTTTACAGAGTACTGACTTACCATTCAAAAACTTCAACTCTATTTCAATATATTAATTTTACAGAAGAAAAATTATGTGCCGAGAAGTGAACCCAAGCTGAATGGTAAGAATCCAGTGCAAGAGCACTTTTTAGTCTTTCCCCTTCTTTCTTGTTTCAGTAGTTTCGTCAGGGATCTGACTAATTTCGCAATGGTGCAGTGACTGCAGTCAGCTCTCCCAAGCAATCCTCCCCAGCAGCTAGTTGGTTTCAGTCATCACAATCTGTAAAGAAGGTCCATTTCATCAATCTCTATGCTTTGTATATCGAGCATACAATTTTCTACTGTTTCTTTTATATGTGTGTGAGTTTTCATTATTTTAGTTCTCCCCATTCCATAAATCTTGATTCCATAATTGAGTTTGTCCCCAACTGTATAGACCACATTGATTTTACTAGCTTTCAAATGTACCACATTTAAAAACAAGAAACCCTGCTATGGAGGTGATTTTTAATACATTGTTCAATGATCTAGAGTGGTTGCGGGATTGCAAATTAAGTGATGTCTAACATCTACATTTTGCTAGAACACAGTAATAATTTTCACTTTCAATTCAATGCAAACTTCTAAAAGTTAAAAGATTCGGAGTACTTAAAATGCATGTGTTTTTACCTGCTGTGGATTACCATTCAGATCAACACATCAAACGTGCTCTTATTGCTATATATACCAAGGAAGCACAAACTAAATGTGTTTAGTTTTTTATGATTACATGAACTTATAAACATAAGGGTAATGTAAACAAGAATTGAAATTATATATCCTTCTTAGAGATCTTCCTCAACCACCTGCTGCTAATGTCTCTGAGGTGAATGAAATATTTATAAGAAGCATGAAAACATTTTGTTTTAGACTTGCCTGTCTAACCTTTGCGAGCGTGACTGAGCTTGGGAAGTTTCCTAGAATCCTGGCTCATGGGGCAATTTAGATCTTCAAGTCCCACTATTCATGTGGATAGTTAAAAAATGTTGGATGGAATGTGTGATTCCATGTTCCTTAAAATTGTAATATTTCCCTTATGCCATGACTTGATGGAACAAAAAATATTGTTGGGGGGAAATATGTTCAACATTTAACATATGACCATATGGGTGTGAATAGAACGTGATGATTGTTGCATCTTCCGTTGGCAAGAATAGTGTTTTAATTGCTTTGTTTGGGCAAGCTTCATTTTCTTCACAACAAAGGTCAAATGTTGTATTTTTATATCTAATAAATTTACTTTCATTTTTCACCCTTGATCAATGATGTGTATTTTCTAGGTTGGGATACACTTGTATGTATCGTACTCCGTCCTAGATAACCCTGCCAAGTTTGACTGGCGCGTAGAATAATAAACTAAGAACTGTATGGTTGAGGTTTGTGCAGAGGAGAGAAATAATAGAAACCATAAATTAGTTGCTTAAAGGAAAGATGACAAAGTTTTTGGGACAAACGAAAAAAGAAAGATGGAAAAGTTATAAGGTACGGAGGAAGTACATATTAAGAGGACTATATAAATAAATCTGACCTTTCTTTGACATTTTGCTTGGTTCTTATGAATAAGAGACATTTGATGACTATAAATATGGGCTCTAGACCTTTTATTTTGAAAAATATGTTTCATGCGGGCCTTAAATGATGAACCGATTGAACCCTGCTTTCAGAAAACGTAATGAAGGGGTAGGGTGATTTATTGACCCTAATTTTATACTCATTTCGTGTGTGAACCAATGGATAAAGGCTGCATATGATTTGAAAAACTTGAGCTCTTTGGGCAATGTTTGATTCAAATTCAATCAAATGCAAGCACGAGCTGACTCATTAAGCAATCGATTTGAGTTTAAGCTTACAGTTATTTGACTGATCACATGTTGGGAATCGTAAACTAACAAAATGCAAAATTTGGAGGTGTGATACGAACTGAGCTTATCTCGAGTTCTTGACCGCATAAGCTTGATTTATGTTTTAGTTAGGTGAACTGAGCTCAAGCCTGTAAAAATTATGAGCCCAAGCTGGGATTAAACTTTACAACTCTATCGTGCTCGGACTCAAGCTTGAACCTACTATTAAGCTATATATGCATTTGAGCCACAGCTTGAGCAAACTAATTATATAGTTTTGGCCCGAGTTGCTTAAAGGTTTAAGCTCTAGTATTAAATGAATAGTAAGTTCAATTATAACCCACTATATACACAATATGTAGTGAAAGCTTAAATATAACTTAACGTTTATTAGAGAAAACTTTAAATTATCTGCCTACTTGGTATCACAAGAAGGGAGAGTTGTCTTTATTTCAATATTTAATGTGTAGGCTAGGCCCGATAAATGTTTGTTCATGCTTTTGTCTGAGTTATTTGATCACGATTCCATTACCTCAAATTCAAGGCAAATCTCTTAGGCTCCACTCGAGTGACATCCTTTTGTAAGGATCCTGAGAAGAATCGTTTTATTTAGTGCATGTGTTTTCAGTTCCTTAGCGCTTTTTCTTTAAGTATAATTTCCTAAAGTCATTTATTTTTAAAAGGTGGCTTTGCTTAATAGGGTCTTTTTCATATATTGAAAGAACCATATCCTCCTGACTTTTGTAGTTAGGTTGATTTATAGTCAGATTTTTTCTTTGTCATGTTAGCAGAAAGAAGTTGTTCCATTATCAATATGGTTTGCTTTTATATAAAAATCTAATAAGTACTTAGTCGATTACACTAGTTCTCTATTTCATCACTTTAGCATTTCAATATTTTCAATTTCCAATCATTATGTCTTCTTCATGTACCCTCTCAGGTCTCTTTAAGCTCAGTGACATCAATAGTTGATGGATTAAAAAAACTGTACATTCAGAATCTTAAACCACTAGAAGTCACATACCGCTTTAACGATTTCGTATCTCCGACATTGGTAGGTGGACTTTACCTTATATCCAATTTCACACCTTATTAGGATAACTAAAATGATTCTCAGTTTTCTTGAGAAAAGAATGTCACCAATAAGCTTTTTTCTGATTGCATTGTTTGCTAATAGACAAACAGTGACTTTGATGCCAAGCCTATGGTGATGCTTTTGGGCCAATACTCTACGGGGAAGACAACTTTTATTAAACATTTACTTAGAAGCAGTTATCCAGGTTTTCCTATACTCATGTTTATTGTCTGCAATTTGTGTTAGAATATGTTCTCAATTTACCTTTAATAGATTTCTATTGACATATGCATGATATTGAATCTTTGCAGGAGCTCACATTGGGCCAGAACCTACAACTGATAGATTTGTGGTCGTAATGGTATTTTGAGACTTTCTTCTTGTTGTCAAGTTGTCAAGTTGACTTGTACATGAGATTTCTTTTTAGTGTGTGGCTTTTGGGAAGTATTTCTTGTTAGTATTTACAAATAAGATGATGTGGATTGAGAATTTTTGAAGGCACCCATGTCTTCTTGAGTAGGAAAAAATGCTACTGGAGCAGTGTCTACTCGGCACGCAATCTTATCGGGGGCTTTAATATTTTTTGTCACCAATATTCTCCTATTTAGATATAAGTCTAAGACTCATGAAGGTCTTTCTATATTGTAATTGTAATGCATTATTTATTACTCTCTCCGTCCCATTGGAGTTCGTCAAGTCTGACCCGCACATGAAATAAGAAGGTAAAAACAGTGTGCCTAAGGTTTGTGAAGATGAGAGAGAAATAATGGCCACAAATTAGTTGCTTTAAAAGGAAAGCAACAAAGTTTTTGGGACAATCAAAAAGGGAAAGTTGGCAAAGTCATGTGGGTTGGAGGTAGTAATATGTAGAGTTTTTATTTGGGTCCTACCAGTGTTTACTCTGTATTTTACAGAATGGACCTGATGAAAGAAGTATTCCAGGGAACACAATTGCTGTTCAAGCAGATATGCCATTCAGTGGTCTGACAACTTTTGGAACAGCATTTTTGTCAAAATTCGAATGTTCTCAAATGCCTCATCCTGTGAGTTCTAGCCATTTCTCTCTTGCCCCAAAATGATTCACACAAATGTAGATAACAGCTTTGACATTTTCTCCTTGGATATTCAAATATATTTCTTTCTCCATGTGTGTTTTTTGAATGCTAAAAAAAGCTATTGGAACACATTACGTTCGTTGATACTCCTGGAGTTTTATCTGGAGAAAAGCAACGAACACAAAGAAGCTATGACTTTACTGGAGTAACATCATGGTTTGCTGCCAAGTGCGATCTCATCCTGTTGTTATTTGATCCTCACAAACTTGATATTAGTGACGAGTTCAAACGTGTGATTTCATCTCTCCGAGGTCATGATGATAAGATAAGGGTTGTTCTGAACAAAGCTGATCAAGTTGATACTCAACAAGTGAGGCCTCTTTCTTTAGCTACAGATTTTGGTAGTATAAAATTCCACTTCCTAGACATCTACATTACTGTGTTGTATAAAAATTTGGAATTTAATTTGAATGGCCTTGAATTGCAGCTTATGCGGGTTTATGGGGCACTGATGTGGTCCTTGGGAAAAGTCCTTAATACTCCTGAGGTTATGCGTGTTTACATTGGGTATTGCTGGCTGTGAACCTTTTGCTTTTCTTGCATAAATAATTGATTTAGACTTGGGTAAAACATCCATGCATTTATTTGAAATGGAGGGAGGTTGATTTGTTATTAAACTTATAAGTATGTGTCGCTTGCAGGTCATTCAATGACAAGCCCATAAATGAGGCTGTTACTGGTCCACTTGGGAAAGAACTTTTTGAAAAGGAACAGGATGACTTGCTGAGTGACTTGAGAGACATACCAAAGAAAGCTTGTGATCGACGTGTAAGTCTAACCTTTTTTTGTTTTTTTGTACCCTTTCCGAGTTGTATAGCGAAGTAAAAAAGACATTGGTGATTATCATGTGTGCAGATAAATGAATTTGTAAAGCGTGCTAGAGCTGCCAAGATCCATGCCTATATAATTAGTCACTTAAAGAAAGAGATGCCTGCGATGATGGGCAAAGCCAAGACTCAACAGCGACTTATTGACAACTTGGCTGAAGAATTTGGCAAGGTCAGTCGAAATATATATGAATACATGTTGCCTTTCTCATTTTATACTTTCATGTTTGAAACAAGAGTTATAACTTACAAATAATAAATGGCATGTAAAACAGGTTCAAAGAGAGCAACATTTGCCTGCTGGGGATTTCCCAAATGTTGAACACTTCAAGGAAATTCTGAGTGGGTACAACATTGATAAGTTTGAAAAGTTGAAACCCAGATTGGTTCAAGCTGTAGATGATATGCTTGGATACGACATCCCCGAACTTCTCAAAAATTTCAGGAATCCTTATGACTAGCAACACCCGCTAGTTGTTGTTGTCCATGTAGTTGTAGTTGTAGTAGTAGCACATTGACTTAATACTACCATTATAGTTTTGATTGAATTTCAGTGATGTCATACAAGTGTATGTTAAGATCTCATTCATTGACATCAAAATTCTTTGTTTTCTACGGGGTTGGATTCCCTTGCCCTTGCGTTAAGATCATTCATTATCATTAAAAGTCTTTGGTTCATGGTTGGGTTGAATCCCCCCCCCCCATTGCAAAAACCACTCATAACTAACATCCCTCCTTTTCTTGCCCCAAGGCATGTGGATAATAGGTAAATCATAGCCCAAGGCATGTGGAACACTTGGCTATGTTCCAGTTCTGTCGCTGCCTGTGTAGGGAGTGGGGTCTGATCCCAGTGAGGGGTTGTTCAGCAGGGAGTGGTAATTTCTCAAGGAGCAAAACCATTAGCAGATAAAAACTAGACACACAAATAAAGGTTGGTAATACAATTTGGAAAAATGAAAAGGCGGTTAGAAAATGTAGATTAGACAAACAGCAAGGCCACTACACAAAGCATATCAATTTGAGCTTATATTTACATCTCAATAGTTTAAAGCAAGCTTGATGCTTAATTACATTGGAGGGTTTAGTGAGGCACCGAACAGGAAATGATACATAGTTGGTAAGCATATGCTTCCATTTAGTTTTCCTACATAGTGTGATAGTGGGGAGAGGATCAGCCATTCAAACTAGTCTAGACAGTTAAACAAAAGACCTACGTGCTCTCAAATTCCATCAGTTATAGCTTTCCACAAGTGAGGCTAATTCCAACTTGTTTTTATTTGGATGTAACTCGCCTTTGCCCGAGTCCTGCATAACAATGCAAATTGAGATGGCTTACTACTTTAGCCTTGTCACGTTTAAGGTGAAATAGCGGAGGATGAAATAGATGGGAACAAAACAGAAATGAAATTTTTGTCCTTCGGTAAAAAGAGAAATGTGTAGGAGAGAAATGAAGAAGGTAAGTCCCACTTTTTAGTTTTTCTCAGTGGAGAGAAATGCACACGTTCTCATTTCTCAACCACTTCTCTCCTACTACAAAAAAAAATCACTCTATTTCTCCTCCTTCTCCTACAGATGTGATGCAAGATTAGAAAAAAAACTTGATTCATTCAGCTGTCAACATGGAAATAAGTATTTATTGATAAGAACTGGATTTCATTCTTTGAGAAAGAGAAACCAGTCGTAACACATCACCTGAAAATCCTCATTGAAGATGTCATTGATGTTATGTTTCTTCAAGATAGGACCGCCACTTCCAATTGTTGCAGTAGAGTCAGGTTTGCCCTTATTTCTTGTGTCAGCTTCTTCATTCTCAACCTTCTTCAGAGCTTCCCTTTTCTTTTCTTCAAGGTCTACAATCTTGAAATTACATGAGAAAGAGTTTTAGCTATTTCTTACTGAAAAAGAAGAAAGAAAAGTATGCCAAGAAAAGAAACTACAGGCTAGCACACTGCACCTCCCGCCCAATCTAGACATCTAAAATGAAAATGCACAATCTCAGAATCTTTGAGAAGCACATTTTCAGTTTTTTATTTCAGAAGTGAAACTCAATATAGTGAATGATAGAATACCAAGTGATTGGGAGGAATTCAGATGCTATTATTTAGTTCAAATTAATTGCAAAAAATGTAGCCTAAAAATACTGGGCATAAGTACTCCCCATTTGGGCCATTTGTCCAGTAATGTTCTTCCCTTTTTTATACTCTTGATTAAGGAGTGAAATTGTGAGTAGGAAATTTATTACTCAAGAACAAAAGAAACTATATAAACCACAAATTTCTTTGTTCCTTTACGAGTAAATGAAAAGAACTCTTTTGACAACGCAAAAGGGAAATGTGAAAGCCACCATCTCTACAATCACACATTAGTTGACTTCATCCCTGAACAGTGACCAGGGGTGAAGTTTTATTCGTGATCTTAATATCCTACCATGGCTCCATAGGAACATTCTTATAAATTATAATCCAAACAATCATTCAAAGAATTTTGAAAATGTAGATTGAGAATTCATAATACCACAGCTGAGAATTGTGGTGTGTTCCATGGTATTATAAAATTTTGGTTTTTTTGTGTGTTCTTTCAAGCCCTTACGTTGGAATATTTCATCAGGCCTCAACTAAAGGCGTGACGAATTCTAAATCACAGCAGGAAGTGGGTTTCAGTAGGCGTGTTTCGAGAAACAAAACCCTAACTGAACGTCAAAATAGCGAGAGTGAAGAGAAAAGACCACATAAGCTTTTGTTTTCTCTTTAACCGGAAAAGGCTTACCGGTGCATATCGGAACTTCCGTTTAGGAGACATTTGAGGCTGAGTGGAGTCGCCGGCGGGAAGAGGAATCCAGCGGCAAAGGAAGAGAGTGGGCCCAGGCGCGTTGCGATGGGCAGCTGGCCGAGTGCTGACCCACTGCTTCTTCCACTTTCTGACAGGGCCGCTGAACGCCGCCGGCGTTGGAGCGGAACCATAGCGTGAGGAAGCGCGCCCGAATCTCGACCCGGCTCCTTCCATGCGGAAAGCTTGGGACCCGCTGTGATCGAGTGCGCTGCTCTGCTGTGGCCTGGAGAGTGTGGAGCGGAAGAGTGAACTAATACGGTGACGTTCGTGTAACGGTAATCGAGGTTCTTTTTATTGTATCTCTTGGCGCGCCGTACGGCTTTGCCATCTTACGTGGCAAAAAAAAACAGAGAAATTGAAATCCAACTGGAGGATTCCCGTTTATTTACTCCAAAAAATGCTACTACCCCTCATTTTAAAATAGTTGTCCTATTTTGATTTGATATATTTATCAAATAAATTTTGAAAAAATGAAAATTATGATTAATATTTGAATATAATAAAATAAAATTTTCTAAATTATATACTCCGTATTTCTTTTCAAAAAAGGAAAATAAAATGGATGAAGTACTTCTTACCTCTCCATTTGAACAAATTTCACAATTTGAAAACCATTTATTTTAATGTTATAATTGAATATGCAAATAATATGATAATCGTTTTTCATTTATTTCAAAGTTAAATTTGTTCGTTAAGGGATTTTGTGCATGAGTAATTATAACATATGAATGTTTAACGCATTCTTATAGCACAAAGGGTTAATGCGTCGAATTTACATGTCACAATGATGTTTGCTGCATTAAACTCAAATTTTACATCTTTCCCTTTTTAGTATTTTTTTTAATTTTTAACAATTTCATTTTTCTAGACTTGTAGTAAATTTCTCTCTCTAGGGCTTTTTAGCCACTAGAGCACTCAGCACTTATTCCATTTTCAACCTAGTCGAAGGACAGCCATCTGATTTATCGGCAAGCTTCGGCAAATTTCTTCGTAGAAGTTGCGCGTGACTATTGCTCTTTCTTCGGAGATCTCCATCGACGCCTCGACGGAGGTAAGGGCTGTGCAAAGCAGTGTATTTATTAGATGGAGGACTAAAAAAAACAAAAAAAAAATTATTAGATGGAGGACTTTGTGAATCAATATAAACACATGGCAATTGGAGAGGACAAGGAGGATCGGAGCTTATTTTCAACGATGAGGAAGAGGAGGAGTCGGCGAACAAAGGTAACGCAATTTTCCCAATAGTTGCCATGATTCTTACGGATTGGAAGATCAAATTTCAATTTTTCAAATAATTAATGGCATCTCTATGGAGACCGGTCAAAAGGGTATCTATTAAAGAAATTGGTGATAAGAGGTATATCTTTACTTTTCATCATATTCTAGATATGAGACGTGTTTTAGATAAGGGTCCGTGGTTATTTGAAAGAAATCTTTTACTGCTTAAAGAAATCAAGGCAGAGGATATTCTTTCACAGGGTTAGTCTTTATGAGACAAATTTTTGGGGTACAAGTCCATAACGTTGCATATGGTTTTATGAATTTGGGTTCAGCTAGGAGTATTGGCAATTACATTGGAAAAATTATTAGTTATGATGAACGTCGGTCTGATGAAAATTGGGAGACATATATGAGAATTAAGGTCCGTATGGATGTTAGGAGACCTCTGAAAAAAAGAACCACTCTGGAAAATGTGGGGTTTAGCCAATGGGTGGATTTTAAGTATGAAAAACTCCCTTGCTTTGTGTGTGGAATTATTGAGCATTCTGATAAATTTTGCCCAGTTGTGTATGGGGGGAGAGAATATCACTTTTGATAAAAAAAAAATTACGGAGTAGAACTTCGAGCTAGGGGAGGAGTGAAGACCAGCCCAACAGGGGAAATAAGTGGTTGATTGAAGGGTCGCCCAGTACTTGTATGGGGACTTCAGATAGACAAGATACAGACAAGCAGGACTGGAAGGAAACTACTACAAACTTAGAGACTAATGCTATCAAGGAAGGGATTGCGGTGAGTCCAACAGGTGAAGATATGACACTGGATAAGCAAAAAGAAAACGGGGAGGAGGCGGGCCTCAACCTATAGGTCCGCCGGTTTGCTCGAAGATGCAGTTGGTTTCGGTTGGCGGACTGGTGAAGGTATTCGTGAGAATGAAGAGGAACGTTTATTTTACTGCTTTTATTTTGGGTTTTTTACAAGAATATTACTAAAATAAAACATATTTACATAAAAATGACTATTCATTACTACAATGTGGTGTTGTGGTAACTTAAGCTCAAAACTTGAACATGAATTACTATGATTTCATTACTACTCTAGTCACTAGTCATATTTTTGTAAATCATCTTTATTTTGATCATATTTATGTAATTATTTCTTTTATTTTTGTTGTTTTATTTAAAAAGTCAATTTTCTGTTTTGTTTTTGTTATTTTTTATATTAAGACTCTTGCATTAAGATGGGGTGAGTTTAGATCGACTTCAATCGTCTGTGGCTCAGGTTTTCCCATTAATGGATCGATCCATAAATCGAATTATCATCGAGTTATGTTGCTTATTTGAAGGTGATTAACTTCAAGTCTGGTTCGAGGGCTAATGGTTGTTTGTGGGCTTTTACTCAGTTTACTCCTTTTTCGAATGCTAATGCTTTGATTTCAATATAAACCCCCCTCTTCCAAAAAAAATATTTTTCTTTTTTTATAACAGATAAAGGATGTACACGAAGATACAAAAAAAGGAGGAAAAAAGATAAAAAATAACCAAAAGAAGAAAAGGAGGATTGGATTTGTACACAAAATGTGTATAC